TGCACCCCTTCCTTCCTTCACTGTGGCCCCTATCTGTTTATTAAACTACTGTAATGAACCACAGAAAATCTCTTGTCCAACTTCCTATTTTGGAATCTAAACAATGTATGAGCATTTTTTTTTCTTTCTCAAACTCTTAAGAAAAAATACTCCCTTTGAGGACCACCTTTACCTCTTTGTATCTTGGCAATGATGCCCAGCGGTTTGAACACTAAGGTGAATGAGGTCAGTAATTTGCATGATATCCCTGTGAGGAAATAATATTTGAGCGATTTTTTAAAAATGTATTGCAGTAACTAAGTCCACCGGAATTAAATAGTGCACTAAGAATGAAGACAAGTTTAGAGGGAAGCAGGAGTTGGGAGGCAATGTATAAGCAAGGGGCTCTTGGTGAGCTGTTTTGATAATAAAGCCTCAAAGCCATGTGGATTAAAAAAAAATGTGATGGGGCACGTGCAGATGCCAAGCCAAGGAAATCTGCCCTGGAGGAGCGTCTCTGGGATAACCTTCCAAGATGTGAGCCATCTCCAGTGAGGCAGGCGCGTGCTCCAAACAGGGATTTTTCTTGTGAATGAGAAAAGGAGCAATCTGGGGTTCTCTTCTACTAAATGGCAGTAAGTAGTCCCAAGGCAGCTATCTGGACAGTTTGGAAAGAGACAATCCTTTTAGAGTCCAGACTGCAATGTGTCTTTGGGAAAACCCATCACAATTTGAATGTGTACTAAGGGAGATAATTTTTTCTTCTCTTCCTGGAGAATGATCAGTAAATGTAGCAAATGTTGAGAGATGTCTTCCTTTCTTTTTACCTTTCCTTCCCCCTTTACTTCCTTCCCCATCAAACCACATTCTTTTCCAATACTCTTAAAGGTGACAGTTGTGGCAAAGGAGATGCTGAACTGGATGGCTTTTCTACCTGTTTACTCTGCAACTTCATCCAGGTATACCCATATGCTCCCTGTTAAAGGATCAGGCCCACTTCTGGCTTACAGCAGAGCATTTAGAGAGCTCCTGCTTTAGTAAATAAGCATTTCACTGACTATGTAAACATTTTTTTTCCTAATTAAATTACTTAGGTGATCTAATTTTTTTGGCTCTATCATAAACAATTTATTTCACACCCTTGCAAATAAAAGTATTTTCCTAGAAGCACCTTAAAAAACAGAGTGGGTCACTCTATTCTGTGTCAATATAAATTGCTTGGGGAAAGAGGACTGGGATTGCACACTGTCTGCATTGCTGGTGCTGTACTGGTGCTGTATATGTGTTATGCCATTTAATTTTCATTAATAAGCTTGCACACTTTCAAATGCTTACTTTATGGATGAAGGAAAGGAGACTCAGAGAAGTTAAATAACTTGCTTAAGATCATATAGCTAAATAAATGGCAAAGCTGGAATCTGAACCTAGATTTGTCTGATTACAAACGATGACACGATACTGCCTATGCATATGGTCCATAATTACCTCAAATACAACATGTTCAAAGCCAAACTTATTTTTCCAATATTCTTCCTGGTTAATGTTTCTCCTACTAGGTTTCCTAGTTCAAAGCACCTCTGTTTACCAAGACACTGAAGGTAAGAACTTGGTCGGTCGATCTCTCTCTCTCTCTCTCTCTCTCTCTCCTACTTCTTTTTCAAAAGTACTTTCTATCTTCCTATGATGGCTTTAGATCAGCCTCACAACACTTTCCTCCCATATGGTAATATAGCTTCCCAACTCATCTGTCTGCTTCCACTCTTGTTTTCTGATTTATACAAGCCACATATTAACAGATCCAATAATATACCATGAAGAGATAAATTCATTTTTCTGAAGGTCAGTATTCCAGCTGACTCAGCCTTCTAAGAGCCTCAAACATCTATAAGAAAAGGTATTTGGAAACCCTAAATAGCAATTCCAAAACCTGTGCTATGGAAAGACTGAGGCTGTCACTCAGGATTTTACTGGCTTTTCTGAAAGGAATGTCACTAGCTTAGCTTATACTTTTTTACTGTCTGCAGCTAGCTTAGAAGCAGTATAATTCAAAACAGACAGACTACTGCTAGATGAGAGCCATTTAAAGCTTTGCTACTGAAAGTGTGGACCCCAGACCAGCAATGTTTGCATTACCCTGGAACTTGCTAGAAATTCAGAATCTCATACTTCCTTCTACACCTGCTGAATTGGAATGTGCATTTTAACAAGATCCCCAGGTAACTTGTAGGCGCATTAAAGCTTTAGGTGCACTGATTTAAAGCAAATTAGATATTTGAAAATCAAACTCTACAACGAATTGGGGATACTCATGTTTCTATTAAGACCCACATAGATATCTTCTAAAAAACAGGCTGTTAATGAATTTTAGATCACTGAATTGCTTTTTTAAAAAGTTTATAACAGGGGCTGGGGGCGGTGGCTCATGCCTGTAATCCCAGCATTTTGGTAGGCTGAAAAGTGGGCAGATTGCTTGAGCTCAGGAGTTTGAGACCAGTCTGGAGAACATGCCTATCTCTACAAAAAAGTACAAAAATTAGGCTGGTGTGGTGGTATGCACTTGTGGTCCCAGCTACTCGCTAGGCTGAGGTAGGATGATCGCTTCAGCCTGGAGGCAGAGGTTGCAGTGAACTGAGATTGTGCCACTGCACTCCAGCCTGGGTGACAGAGCGAGACCCTGTCTCAAAAAAAAAAAAAAATGTTTATAACAGGACATGACTGTTTAGTTTTCTAAGGCAGTGGTTTAGACGTGGGTTATCAGTTGGGATTATAACTAGAAGAGGAAATTGCCACTAACCTTCCATACTAAATCCTATTTATTTGTACTACTCTCTTAACCACAAAAGTCTAGGTATGCCTATTAGTGTTCCACATTCATGAGACTGTTTATGTAGAAAAAAGTTGAGAACTAGTGGATAAGGTTTCTCAAACATTTCACTTTAGCTCTGATAGTAGAGGATAATGAACATTCATCTCAGGAGGTCAAAGTGTCCATCATAATAATGAATTTATTTTAAGTCTCATGTACTACATTTGTTTAAATTTTATATTGTTCAATGTTTAAAAATATAAAAAATTAACTCTCAGCAAAAAGCAATGAACAAGGTAAATAATTCAAAATTTGTTACAGCCTAAGGTGATAACATTTCTCAACATCATCGAACTTAAATAAAATATTTCATAAGTGAACAGAAACTAGATGTAGGTGGGGGAAGGAATCTTCCTACCATTCCAATTGTATCTCTAAATATGTTTTTACTGATTGACCTGGGAACCATATATATTCTTATTTATAAGATAACACAACCTGGGTTCCATTAAACTTACAAATAAACTGTGAAAGCCTTTCTTAAGTTGGAGACTCCATAGACATACAAACATTACTCCCACTGTTAAAAAACAACAGCTTATATTTTTACTACTATGTGAGAGTGTAGCATAAAGTCTGATGCTCAAGCTAGAGAATGTCAAAAGATAATAGCAGGAAGAAAATTCACAAGTGGCACAGAATTTCTCTCCTTGGTTTATAACCAAGATAATCTAAAACATACATCTACACAAAGACTTACATGTGAATGTGCATAGCAGCATTATCCATAATGGCCAAAAAGTAAGAATAGTCCAAGGATTCATTACCTGTTGAATGGATAGCCACTCATACAATAGAATATTGCTCAGCAAGGAAAAGGAACAAAGTATTGATATATGCTACAACATGGAGGAACCTTGAAAACTTGCTAAGGGGAAGAAGCCAGTCACAAAAGGCCACATGATGTATGATTCCATTTATATGAAATATCCAAAATAAACAAATCTATAGAGACAGAAAGCAGATTGGTGGTGGTGTGAGGCTGGGAATGGGAGGGGGAACTGACTGCAAATGGGCATGGGAGAATGTTTTGGAGTGATGGAATGTTTTAAAACTGGATTGTGGTAATAGTTGTACAGCTCTACACATTTGCTAACCATATTCCAATTATATATTTTAAATGGGTAAATTATGTAAATTATACTTCAGTACACCTGTTAAAAATTAAAAAAAAAAAAAACAAAACATTAAAAATGTTCCAAAAGAAGTCCCACAAAACTTGAAAAGAGTTTAACTCTCTAAGAGTATAGGGAAATAATATAGGCATTACACATCCACCCCCGTCCCCGGCATGTCACCACATAAGAAACATGTACCCGTTTTGATAATCCTAGTGCTGAGGTGTTCCAAGCATGTTTGTATCCTTAACATGCTTGACGAAAGAAAGATGCACTTAATACATTAATAGCATCCTAACAGTCATACTACCAAAGAGAAGGCTGAAGAAAAACTTTAAAGCATGAAGATGGACTGGCATCAAGGTCTATTTTAATGTTATATTATTACTGGTCAACCTCTTGTTTACCTTGCTGACATTTAATGATAATTCATGGTAGGTTGAATGATACTACAATGGCATCCATTCCTCTCTATGTAATATGTAAAAATATCATACTAAAGTTTTAGTGTTTATTGATCAAATGTATAAATGACCATTTACATCCAACCATTTTGTTCCCTCCCAAATCCAAGCATATTATATATGAAAAGTTAGTATATGACAGTGATAGGGTTTGGACATTTGTCCCTTCCAAATCTCATGTTGAAATGTGATTCTTAATCTTGGAGGTAAGGCCAGGTGGGGATGATTGGATAATGGAGATTGATCCTTCATGAATGATTTAGCATCGTCCCCTTGGTGATAAGTGAGTTCTCAGTCAGTTCATGCAAGATATGCTTGTTTAAGAGTCTGAGACCTCTTGCTTCTCTCTCTCTTCCTCCTGCTTTTGCCATGTGATGTGTTTGCTTCCACTTAGCCTTCTGTCATGATTGTAAACTTACTGAGGCCCTTACCAGAAGTGGAGCAGGTGTTGGCCCCATGTTTCCTATACAGCCTACAAAACCGTGAGCTGGTTAATCCTGTTTTCTTTATAAATTACCCAGTCTCAGGTATTCCTTTATAGTGGCACAAGAAACATGCTAATATAGACAGTTAAACTAACACCAGACACAAGCTTTTATTGGAATATTTTATTTACATTTTATATTGAAAGAGAATCAATACAAATCGGGACATATTTACAGCATTTCAAATCAGTGTACAAGAATGAAATGGTTTCATCCATTCAGCAAACAAAAATACATGTCTGTTTTATTGTTGCCTAAATTCTGCTGGAATTTGAACAAAACTCTAAAACAAAAGATAAGCCACAAAGAGTACAAATAAAGTGCATTCTTAAATAGCTATATTTAACTTTGGTGGATGAAGCTTCGAACTTTATATTAAGGCACCTGGAATTCCCCCCCACCTTCTTTTTCAAACACCAATAAAATGCATTCACAAAATTTATAGCTACAGGGACAGAATTTTAGTTTATCTAATGTAATTTTAGCCCATTTAGGTCAAACATAAACTCAATTTTCAAAGTAACATTGCTTGGAAATCATTTTCAACAACTAATTTTACAGAACACTTTTCCGTAGACTAATTCATGCACAAAGATCAATGACCAATATTAGTGTTACTTACTCTGTCATTACCATTGTCAAACAGTATGATTCATATACTGTGCTTTTGAAAAATCCCACAAGTTTGAGAAATAGCTACGCAGTGTTTTTGTAAGGAACCTTTCTGTCTAATCTTGTGTCGAATTGGTGTCGTTAATATACCAATCAATTCAGTCCATAATCTCTGAGAAACTATGGTTGACACTCACATGAAGCACATTTAGCTTAATTTTGAAAACAACAAAAAGTTAAAATGAATATTTTGCTTTAAACTTGTTCTATTAACTTAAAGTAGCTTAAATAGGCATTTCATGAAGCACTAGCCTAAGTTTGCATTGCTTTTTTACATTACAATTCCAGATCAATATAAGCACCTGGAGAAAAACCCTGACACATATAGCCCAAGCTAAAGTAGTAGTATTTTTCATTAAGATACTATCATAAAATAAAGTGATCACAGCTACTCCACATTTTAAAAGCAATATGTTTTTATAAGAAAATTGTTATAAATGAAAAATGTGACTTCTTGAAGACAGTTTTGAATGTCTAAAAATGTTGCTATCACTATTGAGAGGAAACTTGCCTATGAAAAACATTATAATGAGTTTGTGGAAAAAAGTTAATAGGTTAAATATTTTAAGCCATTTAACTATAGCATAATATTAGTCATCTGAGCACTTTCAGTATCACTCTTATTTTATTAAATTTATCCAGTTCATTAATAGTAAACTAGGCCCTGATTGGCAGTTCTGTTATTACTAATGGTTCAAGTTTTCTATTGACACAGATTTTAAGATTTAATTTCTCGAACAGCAGTCTCTTGATCAGGAGTTTCATCTTCTTCAAAGGTTGGGTTGTCAACATGAGGGACAACATCCACTGCCACAGAATTTGCTTCATGGTTAACCAGCTGTAGATTTTCATCTTTAAAAAGAAATAGCAATTTTAGGATGATTTTATCCCTCTCTTCTTTTAAGACAAAATTCAACATTCATTTCCAAGAAGACTTCCTTATTTCATTTCATCATACTCTGATTATCATACTCATTCCCTGTAACTTTAATAATTATATAATTTATGCTAAATCTTATGTAAAGTACATATGGCATTATTACATTGATTTATAACTGATCCTTTTTTGATTCCCATATGTGTGCTTATTTCTACCTAGATTATAGCCTCCCTAAGAGCAAAAATTATGTCTTCTACTTCTTCCTTACCTTAAATATAGCAAGCTGTTAAATCTGGCTATACATTTCAATCACCTGGGCACTTAAAAAATTACCAATGCTTCTTCATAAACATAAATATAGATAGATTTTTAAAAAATCAACCAGGAAGTTGGAGGGATGCCCAAAATTGAATAAAAACAGTAATAAATAAACTTAATTGTATTATAAATGAAATACATAACCACATGAAGAGAATGGGGAAGAAAACAACTAAACTTAAATAACTTTGGAATACAGTATTTTGACTGTAACCTATAAGGCTAAAAACAGAAAAAACTGTACACTAGTTAGTGAAATTGTTTTACACAGGGGTATGTGTTAGCAACGCTGAAACTATTTTATGTATATTCTATAATTGAACAAATAAGTAAATATACTGTGGATAAGAAGAGCCTTTCACTGTCAGAGAAAGGAGTTACAAATAAATAAAGGGGGAGGCTAGAATGAACTCTGTGGTGTTAGAGCTGAATCAGATGTATTAGTATAAGGTTATTGTTTTTCAGATAGATAAGATGATGGAGAAATAATGTATATATGTGTGTATATTTGTGAGAGTAAACACATATACTTTCTAGTCTTGTTCATTAAAAGGCCAATAGCAATGACACCCTCGTAACAATAAACACGCCTAGTGCTCAGATCCTGGTTTTGAAATACCATTTTCCAGTAAAAGGCCTCCTGAAGCAATGGCTGATTCTAGGGCTAGGACAGGGAGAGTACAAGGTTAAAATAGATTTTAGCCTAGGGGCCAGCAAACTCCAGCCTACAAACCATAGTTAAAAGTCTTGTAAAAGGTTGTAAAACAACCAACAAAAAAGAAAATAAGAGTATGAAAATGAAGACTTATGGCTTTTAAAAGCTTTGAAGTTAGAAATGAAAATTCCTAGGCACCAACCAAGACCCACCCAAGACCCACTGAGTCAGAAACTCTGGTGGTGACCTCTCTGTTTTAATCAGCCCTCCAGGTGACTCAATGAGTACTTAAGTTTGAAAACCAGTGCTCTAATAGAACTTAGCCCAATGATGTGACATACAGACATGAACTATATGTATTTGGAAAGTTATGCAAATCAACTATCACCATAAAAATCAATGGCTAATACACAAGAAGTTTAAACTAGTAATATGCAATCAGAGACAAAATTAAATCTGGTTTAAGTGGTCACTCATTCAACACAAATTTGAGTATCAACTATGTGCTAGGTCCTGGACAGACAACAGTGAATACAAGGCACTGTCATTACTCAAAGGAACCTTAAAAGTTTTAATAAAATTCAGTGTTACAAGTGCAATGATCAAAGTTCTATGGAAACCAATAGTAGAGTTCATCACATCTAGTCAAGAGAGGCTTCTCAAAGAGGTGTGAGTCTTAAAGAAGAAACAGGAATTATCCTGGGATCCCCCAATTTCTTGGGTGAACCAGAATGGAAGGAATAAGCAGAGAGAAGATAGTGGCTCAAACTATGACTGTGGAATTAAGGTTGGAAATTAGGGGACAGAGTTGAGAACATGGATGTTGAATCAATAGGAAGGGGAAGTGGGAAGAATTTGGGATGTCCCTAGTTTCTGGTTTGGGGCAGTTGGGTGAGTATTAATATCATTCAAATTAAGAATACAGGAGGAAAAACATGGATCATTATTTCATTTGCTTTTTAAATCTCTGCAAAATCTGTTGTGCTTACCTCTTTCCCCCACCCCACCCCTACCCACAGAAGAATAGAACACAAAAAGAGTACATTGGTATTTTGTTTTTTAAAAGACTAGCAATAAGTTATCTTGTACACTCTCTTTTATCTTTACTGAATTCTATTACCACACAATTATGAGAGTACAAGATCATCTGGGGCAAACAGAAAATGATTCTTTATTATAGGTAGAATAATTCACAGATTGTTAAGATACTTACATCTAGTTTATATTCAAGGGATTGTCTAAAGATTAGATACAAGAAATACAAAGTTTGCCTTTGCATGTTTATATTTATTGTGATATCTTCAGACGTGGTATCTATGGCACTGATAAGCCTACAGAGGACAAAGGTTTATATCACAGGAAGCTGAAAGTTTCATAAGTCATCTCGACAATCTGTTTTTGGTTTACTTTTATGCTAGAATTAAATTACCTCAAAATGAGGATTGAGAGAAGACTTTCAAACCAACAAAAAACATGAAAAAGATTGAGGTTAAGGGGAAAATAATTTTTATGGGAGTTGTATCTTTTTAGGGAAAAAACAGAACTCCCTCAAATTTCTCATTTGGCATAAAATTACTAAGTTGCAATACTAATTCATATGAATTTTGAAAATGATATATTAAATATTAGTTTCTAACAATTTGTTCATTTCATGATAAATAGTCAACAGGTGGCAGCACACACCATCCTTAAACAGATTCCTATTTGCAAATGGGTTCTGGAGAAGCTGGGTATAAATCAAGCACTTGAAAATTGAATTCTATTTTATCATTTCAGAACTCCTTTATCTTAATTTCTGCTTTATCTGCAACAAACAATGGCTTCTAAAGTTTAAATTTTCTCCTTACTCTCTGTAAGTAGTTAATAAGCTGAGATTTAAAATGCATCGGAGAAAAGCTTTCCAATAAATCTTTCTTTTGTAAATAAGCCCCGCTCTGATGCATTTCATCGATTTCAAATACATTTGAATATATGTATGTTAAGGCAGGGGTGCATCCTTCATGGCATTATTTTAAGTGGAAAAAACCTGGACCGTGATAATGGCTGAATGGAACAAATGCTAAAAAGCAAGAGTACTATACAGGCATATGATCCACAATAGATTGTTTGTAGGGCACTCATTAACCCTTAGTATGATGCCTACTTGTTGACTGCACATGTTCCTCCAGAGGCGGTTCATCTGCTCCCTGTACTGAAGCATATCCAGATGATGCGGTCTCACTGCGATTATCCTCTTCATGGGAGGAGGCACTATTGGATGTTTCATTGGATACAGGGACTTGTAAAGACACTGAACCATCTTCAACATCCACCTTTAAAGAGCATTTGAATAAATTAAAAGCCTCTCACTGTACATGCTTTTCTTCGACATATCACTTCAAAGTTTATTTATAGGTGATTCATTGGAGCAACATTTCTTAACCTTTAAAACCTGTGATCTCTTTTGATGATCACAAAAGTCTCTTGTTAGCCCCAGTCGAAACAGAGTAACTATGTCCACCAATGAGGTGAAAGATGCTACAGGCAGAGTGCACTTTCATCTGATATGTTCATTTGGGTGATCCCAGCACTTTGAAAATAATGCCAGGTACAAGTTAGGCCCTAAAATAACATCATGCTGTCCCCTATGGAAAATGAGAATCACTGTCATCTATGTATCTTCCCAAGTCAAGAACTGAGCTTGCCTCTATGTTGTATCTTGAAAATAGGCCTTTTAAAAAATTTACCAACTATAAACTTATAATTTAACATTTATTATGCCTCCTCAAATTATGCATGCTTATTTAACTACAAGTTTGGTCACTATGCAACAGTAAAAGATTACAAAAATAGAAAGAGTGATGCCAAGTTGGTAGTTTATATGGTTATTATTTCAAATTCTGACCAAATGAGTCTATTTGAAAAGAGGGAGGAAGAAGGAAAATGGAGGTGGCCCAAGATGGTATCTCATTGTCTATATGATATAAATATGCCCAGATTAAGCATAAACTGTAAGTATGGCATGTTACATAACTAAAAAATAAGGATGTCATTTTCCCCAAAGCCCAGGCATATATCCTTCATATAAATAACATATTAATGTTTACCTCAATTCCCAAAGCTTTGAGTATGTCACATTTGCACATGGGGCAAGTCCTGTGTTCTAACAGCCATGGGTCAACACATGTCTTATGGAAAATATGGCTAATGAAGGAAAAAATACATAGTTATCAGTTGCGAAGTAGCAACACTTTGCCTAATATATATTAACAGATTACTTAATGTAATTTTATTTAGTCTTTGAATGGATGCCTTTTCTTTTAAACACACTATTCATACAATGAAGAAGCCACAGAAACAAAATTTGGAAATTCCATAATACAGTACTTTTAAATATAAAAACCTCATTACTCTAGCTCCCAAAAAATATTTTTAGTACTCATTTGAAAATGGCTAGAATGCTACCTGACCTAAGACTTTGTTGATTATTACAAATTTTAAACAGTTATAATTCCCTAACTGTTAAATGGTACAGACATTCTCAATAATATAGTCCAATATAGTATTGAGTACAATGACACAGTACTGATGCTTTAGGCAATGTGATATGTTCCAAGAGCACCACTATTGTATTAAGTAGCTAATAGAAGGAGGGCTGAGAACAAACTTCAAGAGAGGGATAATTAAAAAACTAAGGAATGAACACTTCCAAATAGATGCTCATAAGTTTATTTTATTTTATTTTATTCTCAATGGATTAGAATAAATTTAAAATTAAATAATCCAGTACTATCCTTATATCTATATGTGTATATATTATATATTATACATATATGTATATTATGTATGTTTATGTGTACACATGTACATTGTATATTATATATTATATATTATATATACATATACATATGTGTGTATATATATATATATATATATATATAAATTGTGCTGGCTACATTCTCAGTTTTCTATGGAATTAGTTTAGAACAAATTGAGCCAGATTACAATTAGACTTATACCAACTTCATTGGTATTTAGAAATAAATAATAATAAAAATAAACCATTCTTCTATATTTAAATGAAAATAAATTAAAAATAAACATTTTCTTTACTATTTGGAAATATTCACAATAGTTTTCTTCCATCACAAACATTTTTTGTGGGTCAGTTATTTTTATTGAAGATATAAAAGAAAATCAAACTTACTTGCAGGTTAAGATGCGTACCAAATCATTTGGTTTATACAATTCAATGCACACAGCACAGCTATCTCCATCAGGGCCAATTTCCTACAAGCAAATAGTTATTGTTACTTTGACAGATAAGAAAAGATACATTAAACTACAGAACAAGATCAGAACATACATGTACTTAACCAGCCTAAATTCCTATAAAAGGAAGAACATCATATCACTGAATGATTATTTAACTGTAAAGTTTTCGAAGGTGATTTAAAATTATCAAGACTTTAAAAAGATGAAAGAATAAAGTGAAGTAAAAGGGGAACAGAACAAAGAAAAACATGTAGCACTGATTTAAACTATTTTTCCTGATTTTAGAATACATAAAATATCATTTGTACAAGTTCTATAACTTTGTTCATTAAAAAAAACAAAGCGCAATTCACATACAGTAAAATTCACCCTTTTAGTGTACAGTTCTGCACATTTTGAAAAATATATTTTTCAAATATATTTTTCATTTTAAAAAATATATCACTTATTCCTCAACAAAATTAAGATATAGAATAGTGCTATTACTCCCAACAAACTCCTCCAAACTCTTTATAGTTAATCTTTCCTCTCATCCCCAGCTCCTGGAAATCACTGATCGATTTTTATAGTTTAGGCTTTTCCAGAATGTCATATAAATGGAATCATGCATTTTCTGGCTTTTGAGTTTGGCTTCTTAAACTTAGCATAATGCATTTGAGATTCATCCATAATGTTGTATGTATCAGTGGGGTTCCCCTCACCCTTCTATCAGTAAAGAGTATTCCATAATATGTATGTACCACAGTTTATCCATTTACCAGTTGAACAACATTTGGCTTTTTTCCAGTTTTTGACAACTATGAATAAAGCTGCTATAACAGTTGTGTACAGGTTTTTATGTGAACATAGATTCCCCCCGCCCCCATAGGGTAAATATCTAGTATTGAGATTGCTTGGTGCTATGCTAAGTGTATTTTTAACTTCATAAGGAACTGCCAAACATTTTCAAATCGGCTATATATTTTGCATTCTCACCAGCAAATGAATGAGAGTACCAGTTGCTCCAAATCTTGGTCAGCTCTTGGTATTTTCAGTTGTATGCATTTTAGCAATTCTAATGAATATGTAACGGTATTTTATTGTGGCTTTAATTTGTATTTCTTTAATGATTAATTATGTTTAACATCTTTTATGTGCTTACTTGCCGTTCATATTTTTTTGGTGAATTGTCTGTTTTGCTTGCCAATTTTCTATTCGGTTGTGTTCTTACTGTTGAGTTTTGAGAGTTCTTTATATATTCTTGGTACAGCCCTTTAACAGACATATGATTTGCAAATATTTTCTCTCAGTTTGTCCGTTATATTTTCCTTCTTTTAAAAGTGTCTTTCAAAGAGCAGAAATTCTTAATTTTGACAAAGCCAAATGTATCATTTTTTTCTTTTATGGACTTGTTTTTAGAGTTATATCTAAGAAATGTTTGTCACCCAAGTCATGAAAACATTTTTCTTTAAAGTTTTCTTCTAAAAATTTCATAGTTCTAGGTTTTATGTTAAGGTCTATGATCTATTGAGTTAATATTTACATAGGGTATTTTTTTTTTTTTTTTGCTTAAGAATTTCCAACCACTGCATATGGATAGCCAACAACTGGCTAACCTGCTGAAAAAGCTATCCTTTCTTTATTGAATTGCTTTTGCACTTTTATGGAAAATCAATCGACTATGTATGTGTGGGTTTATTTCTGGACTCTGTCTTCTGTTCCACTGATCTATAAGTCTATTCTTTTTCCAATAGGACACTATCTTGACTGCTGTGACTTTAAAATAATTCTGCAAATCAGGCAGTGTGACTCATCCGAAGTTGTTCTTTATCAAAATTGTTTTGTTTATTCTAGTTCTTTTGCATTTTCATCTAAGCTTAGAATCAGCTTATCAATTTTTATAAAAGATTTCCACTAGGATTTTTACTGGAACTGCATCAAATCCATAAATTAGTTTGGTGGGTAACTGATAGCTTAACAACAGTGAGTCTTCTGACCCATGAACATGGTATATGTTTTTAGATCTTCTTTGATCTCTCTCTTTCACTAGCCTTTTGCAGTTTCATGGCTTTGGTAAGATTTACAATGGTTTATTATTTCCATGAGTTCTACAGCTATTTTTTGAAATACATGTTTTACCCATCAATGGTAGTTCTCAACTGTCCTAAATCTGAAAATGAATGTTCAAGCAAAGTAACACTAAAGTATTGTATGAGGTTCCTGTAGTTGCTGTAACAAATTATCATAACTCAGTGGCTTAAACAACACAAGTTTATTCTCTTACTGTTCTGAAAATCAGAAGTCTATAATCAAGGCATTGTCAATACTGTGCTCCTTCTGGAGGCTTCAGGGGAGAATCCCTCTTCTTACCTTTCCCAGCTTCTAGAGGCTGTCTGAATTCCTTAGCTCATAGCCTCTTCCTTGTATCACCCTAACATCTTGCTTCCATTGTCACATCCTTTACTGTGCTGTGGTCAAATATCCCTGTCCCTCCCTCTTATAAGGACACCGTGATTGTATTTAAAATCCACCTGGATAACCCAGGATAATCTTCCCATCTCAGGTCCCTTAACTTAGTCATATCTGCAAAGTCCTTTTGCCATATAAGGTAATACTCACAGATTCAAGGGAATAGATATCTTAAATATCTTTGGGGGGACATTATTCAGCCTACTTGTAGAATCAAATACATATAAAAAGTCAATAAGGTTCATAAATGCCAATAAAATAGTACTTTGGAAGAACACTTAGCTTGAACCATGGTTTGGTACCACTGCTTTAAAACAAATAGTATTTAAAAGTCATGAATGCACCTTGTCTCCTTGTTTCAGTGTGCGTAGTTGAAGCCTTCCAATAGCTTTTTTAGCATCTGCCTTTAATTGCCTCTGTAAAAAAAATAGCAGGCATTAGAAAAAGCTAATTTTTTAAAGAAGTATGATGAAAAAGATAGAGAGGGTCAATAAATATTTATCAGGTAAAAGCCAATGTACAAATGAATTTTTAAAGACAAAAGTTAATTAGCCATAATAAATGTCCCATTTACCTGATATCAGGCAGGATTTTCCAAGTTATTGAGACCTTTCACTTACTATGTTTCCCTGTTTTCTTAAACAATACTTTGGGACCATAATAGGAAATGTACATTTCTCCCATCCCCAATGGATTCAAGTGCTATGGATTTTCAAAGCAATCTTCCTATTTGCAAGCTCAGAGAACATTAACATGCCTCTTTTCCAATTTCCTTTTTGAATTGTCTTGTTTGGTGGAAGTTTATAGGATTTGGATTCAAATGGTTCAATATCTGACTTTGTTATTACCCAATGAATAACCCCGCACAAGTCATTTAAAGCTTTGAGTTTGTTTACTTATCTACAAAATGAGTGTGGTACCAACCTTTACACTGTTTGATATTAAGAAAAATATTGCTGTTTATAACCACAACTGCTTTATGAAGAAGATGAATTCTGAGAGTGGTTGCCTTTTATTATTTCACTGAGCATATTGTTTCACTGAGCATTGTTTCACTGAGATGTGTCTGCAAAAGCAAGCCACAGGCTCATTTATGGAATAAGAACTAAAATGTTATGGATAATTGAGTCAGAAGTGAAGTCAGGGTGTGGGAAGAATCTACCAGGAGAGGAAAAGACTATAAAGAGAGGAATCCATGAAAGACATCCCAGGTAATATTTGGTGAGGTATTTGGTGTTAATTTGAAGCTATTGGTGATGCTGCAAATACTTCATTCCCCTTCACTAACGTCTACTACATACATGAATGCCTCAAGTGAAAATAATACGCATATAAATTGAAGTAGAGGCTAAGTATCATACTTGGTAGATGCTGTGTTGATATGGTGAATATTTGTTCCCTTCAAATTTCATTGAAGTTTGATCCCCAATGTTGGAGGTGGGGCGTGGTGGAAGGTATTTGGTTTACAGAGGAAGATCTCTCATGAAGAGCTCAGTGCCATCCTTGTGGTAATGAGTGGGTTCTCAGTTAGTTCACGCTGGTTGTTTAAAAGAGCCTGGAGCCTGCGCTCTCTCTCTCTCTCTCTCTCTCTCTCTCTCTCTCTCTCTCTCTCTCGCTTCCTCTCTTACCATGTGACACACGTGCTCCCCCTTGCTTTCAGCCACGATAGGTAGCTTCCTAAGGTTTTCACCAGAAGCAGAGGTTGGCACCAAGCTTCTTGTATAGCCTGCAGAATCATGAGGAAAATCAACCTCTTTTTTTTTATAAACTACCCAGCCTCATGTATTCCTTTACAGCAGCGCACACCCAACTACTACATGTGTGGAATATAATGGTAGCATGTGTGGCATGGCAAGATAAGTGATCTTCCTATTTTGAACTGTAAAATGAACAAACTTAGAAATTTGGCAAAAAGTAGACCCTCAGAACCAGAGATCATTGTGAGAACATAAGCAACTTCCTTCCCATATGTACCCCCAGCCCCAGCTGACATTTAAGTTACATGAAAATTAGAGATAATGTAAGTATTTAGTATAATGTCTGGCTTATAGCAGACACTCAATAAAATGTTTATTACATAAAAATGTAAACTACCATTCATCAATAAGCATAACACTTACTTGCCAAAATATATTTGCTACAAATGCTACAAATACTTGTAGCAAATATATTTTGGAATGTAATAATCTGTAAGTATCAGTATGCAAAGAATCTCCTTAATGCCCAAACCTGTCTCCTATATAAGATATCATTTTGTGAAAGGTTTTTATCTTAATGCCAAGGAGAATACTAGCCAAAGTATTTCTTTGCTGTCACAGGAAAAGCAGAAACCTCTCAGAATATAACCTGACAAGCAAATAAGCTTAATAGAAACAGTGAATAGGAAGGCCTAGATCCTAAGAAGGAAAAGAGGTGCTAATCAAGGCACTTTCACTCCCATTTTGGAACATAATTGTGAATTAAAAGAATTCTATGATGAGACTTAATTTCAGCACAAATATCTTCCCTTCTATTTTGTTACCTGCAAGATAATAATAGAGTGACAGTGAGCCAAGGTACACTTAGGATCTTTACATTACCAAGCCCGACATCTAATGAGACAGAGAAGAAAACTGATGCTCAAAGAGGACGAATGTCTTGTTGGAAATATCAGAGCTAGTGTCAGCTCCACTGAAACTCAGAGTTACATCAAGGTAGCTATCTGTTTTGACCGAAGCTTGGAACAACAAGCTAGTACTGTCACTTCCTTACAATATACAGTTGTTATACAATTTAAAATAATTTTTTGTTATCCATTACCTCATTTAATCCTCACAACAACCCCCAGAAGAAGGTATTATCCTCATTTTAGAGATGTGCAAGTGAAGGGTTGAAAACATTAACTTATCCAAAAGGGAATGCAGCGTCTAACTAATAGAGCTGGTACTGGAACTCTGCTCTTCATGTTCCAAGAGTCCATTACAATATAACCATGCATAACTCTGCTGTCTTTTGATGTTTTTCTAGCTCCTGGATTCTAGGGTCTGTCAAACTGTGGCAATCCTTCCACCTGTATGCCTTCATGGTCCTGGCCCTGGACCAGACACCTACACTTCACTACTTTCTTTTCGCATAGATCATGAGTCAGTTAGACATTGAGAGGAGAAAAACACAAATGAGAAAAAAATAGAGCCAGCAAGAAGAAAAGGGAAAAAATGTAATGTAGTTGATGATGTCTTTCACAATCATTTTGCCCTTTGTCCTGAAAGCAATTCTAATTTAGGTTTAGGCAACAAGCTGCATAACACAGTTAGGGGAAAGCTCTCATAAGGAAGTGATAACTCTCTAGGGTATTTACTTGATTCAGTCTATATAGTCTGATTTCTCATTGCAAAATATTCCATTCAATACAATATAAATGTCTGAAGCTCCGGTGTTAATGCTTATCAATTCATTAGGAATTAATGTCAAATATATAACTTTCTCAATTATAGCCACGACTATAATGCTAATTAATTTGAAGTGTGGGGTCAAAGGGAAACTTTGCATGTAATGTCTGAGTCTATGCCCAGGAGAAGAGTAGAACTTGCACTAAGATCAGTGCCAGAAAATGACGGTGGGGGGAGAACATAGAAAAAAAAAAATACGGCCAAATCCAAAATGCCAGAAGACACTAGACAAGAGACTTGATTATAAAGGATCTCTAAAAGATTTGCAGCATAGCATAAACTAATGTTTAACAAAGCAGCCTCAGAATAAAAATGTGTTTTAAAGAAAATCTGAATATTTCAATAGCTCCTACCGGTCTTATATAAAGAAAAGCTACTTTCTTTAAATATGGATGCAAGACAAGTGATTTTAGTAAAAAACACCAACTTTATTTTTAGAGCTTAAAAGCAAGTCACTCACAAAACTGCCTTAAGATATTCAAGATAGCACTCAAGATATTTCACCATGACACTGATAGCAAGAGTTCTGAGATGCATGCGTCCCTCTAAAAAAACTGAAATATGAGAACAGTATTAGGACCGAGTAGATTATATTCAATACATATGTTTGAACAACATTATGCCAACTTTTGCCCAAATATACCTCGACATTTAGACAATATGCCCCATGTGGACTGTAATTTATATCTTACTCCTTAAACAGAATTTCAAGAATGTATCTGATTATACAAATTACATTGGATACTTTCCCCTTTTCCAATGCCTTGCCACCTGATCAGAATTTCCTTAGTTTATAAATCCTAATAACACATTGCTTCCACCTCTTATCTTGTTCAGTAATTCTATTATCAATGTTCCTTTCTCTCCTATTAGATTGTGAGTAGCTGGAGGACTGGGCCTTAGTCACTTAGAAAAAAATTCCCTATTTGCTAGAGTTTGCTCAAAAACTATTTTCTGAATTTAGAAAATATAAACAGACGTTCTTGATTTTCTCATGCAAGACACTTCTCATTTTAATTATTAAAATCCTCTACTCTATTAAGTTTGGGAAAAGAAAGGTTTAAACATTAATTGAGCCTTTACCATGTGTCAGGTTGTAAGCTTTTTACATGTGCCATCTTGTTTAATAATTAACACCATTGTGAAATAGCTATTTTGATATCCAAGTTTTATAGACAAGAAAAGTAAGGTTCAGAAGCTTGACTAAAGTCCAGACAGCTGGTTAGCTTCAGAGCTGTGATTCAATTCAAGCTCAGGTTCTATCTGACTTTAAAGCCCATGATCTCGCCACTATTGTACACTGCCTCCATTGTGTAATGCAAAGAAGCCTTTAAAAAGCCTTCACATTCCTTGTGAAGAAGACAATTGAAAAAAATTAAAAAACCCGTTCAAAGCAAGCAATTATCCAATCTTAAAATTCTTCTCAAATTGGCTACTTACTGTGATTTGGGGAATTTAAAAAAACAAGTACATTATGTCAACTGCCTTTCACCTTTCCCCTCCTTCTCTTTAATCCTAAGAGATACCTGGTCTAAGAATATTTGGCAGTAGAATGGAAGACTGATTCAAAGCTGGTTGTTGGCCAGTTTTCTTAACAGAAGCTTAATGCGGCTATTCTGACTAATCAAAAGCTGCATTCACTCTACTTACTGAAGAATCTCAATTATAAGGGTCTTTTTTTGGTTCTGAATGGGAATTTATTGGGGTTGAAGACGAAGTGTCAAACCAATTATCATTCTTTATTACAATGTTCAATTTTGAAATTATAGTGAATGCAGAGATATTCTACCCAGTTTATTGGTGTATTTATATTCAAATAGTTAAAATACAAGTTTCAGTCTGGTGATTTGTCAGCCTCATTTTTGCTTCCAGGGCATTCAGCTTTTAGCTTAACTGAAATCCACATGAATAGTATTAAGTATGTAGTCAAACCTAATTACTTGATGGAGGACAGGGTGTGTAAAAGCAAGACAGGAGACAGATACAAG